GTGTTATGTAAATTTATGCAAATTTAATTTCAAGATAACTGATCATAACATGTGATCATTACTGTAATATTATTCTTAATATTAAGTAATATTCTTTAAAAAATCAATTTCTTACTTAAATCCAATCAATATGATATTTACAGACTACAAAGCAGTAAGTAATACTTAATTTTGTGAGAATTAAATTTGCCGAAGGATTGATTGTTTGAAAAGAGTGAACTTTTGTGGTCGAATACGAGGAATCTGCCAAGAAATGACGGACGATATCGTCAAACACACTCGTTTTCACGACCAAAAAAGTCGGAAGGTTGCAATTACTTTTACTGCTTTATTCTTCAGAACACAATTTATACATACTTCTTGCTATCAAATTCTTGTGCGCTAATTGACTAATTAATAATTTAGCTCAAATATTTTAGCTAAGCCAAAATACACAACAAAACAAAACATAATTTTAATTTCTCTAATGAAAAAATCGTTTTCAAAAATTAAAAAAACAATTTTATTAAAATATTTGTTCAAAAATATTATTTCTAAATAAAGTTGTGCAAAAATAGCATTATAAGTGTTGCATAAACACTAATTGAAAATTTTTCAAGATTTATATTACCATTTTTGTATAAATTTCTTTGTAATTGAAATATTTTGAAAAAATGGAAATTATTTTAAAAAATTTTCAAACAAAGATATGATTTATGTTTATAAGCTATCATAGTATTAAAATTATATTATCAACTGGTTAGCGTCTTGATATCAGATTATCGACTGATAGCTTTTGATCGAGATATCAAATGATGAATTAATTCACTTTTTATCTAAAGCAAAAAATATTGCAAAAATCACTCATATCATTCATTCAGTCAATACAGACTTGATCTAAAAGGTACGAACGTCTGATCTAAGTATCTAAAATCGATAAGACATAAAAATCTTTTTGTAAAAACTTGTTTTCCGTCAGTGAAAAAAGTAAGCAACAAATTTGTACTGTTTTTTTCTCATTGAACTGAAAACACATAAAATGTTTTGAAAAACTAATTCCGTTTAATTTAAATTTGCGAGTAAATAGTCGCAAATAAAAGATTCTAAAGTTATTTTTTATTGGGTTTCAAACGTAATAAAAGTATTTTCATTCTGATAACTGCCACAAAGTTTAATGTCAACTCTTTGATTTCTTAAATTATTAATTTAAAGATAAATTCAGAGCAAATAAAATATTTTCCAATTTTAATGCTGCAGTTTGTTAATATTATTTATTAATATGTGGTTAAATTCAAAAATTTACTTGTGAATTTTATCACAATTTTCAGACTAGTGATTTTTATTTAAAAATCTTTAGCAATGTGCGCATAGAAATAACCGAACAAAACCCTTCGCTACTAAAATTGTTAATTAGTAATAAAAGACGTATATTTTTATATTTATGCAAATTTAGTTGAACACAAAATACTAAGTATTAATTTTAATATTACAAAATATTAATATGAATACAATGAAACGAAGTGATATACAAATCTTTCCTAAAACTTTCGATTTATTAATTCATTTTACTGAATTCAAATGTTCGATCTTATTCATATTCAAAAGTTATTTTCACCTTCTTCAATTTTCTCAAGCCTTGAATTATTTGAAATTTAATACAGCAATAAATTTGCATGCATAAAAAATATCGGCTTAAAAAACTCCTACATAACTGAAATTATTTTTGAAAGATGGAAAAAGCACTGAATAAAAATAATGACAGTAAAAAAATGTTTAAAAAAAGCACACTACAAAAAATTGGTGTTTTTTTTTTTGTCCTATAAAAATTTTTCTAAAATTCAGAAAATCCGCAATCGGTTTATTTATTCTTTACGAATTCGCTACAAAAGCAATTTACCATTTACGCTTTTTAAATATTTATATAAGTGATGAAGTTTATTGTATTTATTTACATAAGCTTTAAACAAACGAAATCTAACTCTTCAACAACTTTTTTAAACGCTCTAAATCTTATTTTCCAACAATTTTTTGAATTTAAAAATGAAAATTGTGGGAAAACCTTCAGAAAAATTCAATGTTTTTTCCAAATTCCTTTAATAACAATAATTGCAAAAAAATGTTTCTAAAAAAATCATGAATTATTTTTCTTAAGAAGTAGGCTGACCTGAAATAACTGAAAGAATGATTTTTGAATCAACGATGTGCAAAAGCTCAATAAAATGCTTCTAAAAAACCATTCCAGATTAAATTAATTAAATTATCTCAAGTAATACAAATACAAAAATATTCCAAAATTTAGAATGACGTTACTTTTCCAAAAATCTGCGAAATCTCACAAAAAAATTGTTTCTACCCAATACTTTTATTTCTTCGATTGCTAATTTATTATTAAAT